GAGCTACTGCTTTTTTTTTTTTTAATTTAGAGCCTGGTTCGATCCTTACTCATCCTTGGGTGCTCTCCAATTGTAAAATCTTATTATTTTGCAAAAGTTGTGACTTAAGACTAAGGATGCGTTCCGAGTTACGCATGAAGCGCATGATGAATCGTTTTATACTTCTTTATTATTTGGTGAACAACGAGGACAAATGATGCATCATGCGCTTCATGATGAATGAGTTTCTTTCGCGTCCGAAATTAAATTCGGCTGATTTCGCCGTAATGCCTGTTGCATGTTGGACGCGATAAGCGGTAGACGATATCCAATGAAAGCTCTGCTTTTTCAAACATGACGATACAAAGAGCTGTCATTGGACATCTTATGCTTATTGATCGGAGCCCATCCCACCCTTGTCCTGCGTACAATGCGTGCCCATGCATGATAATTGAATCGAATTAATATAGGAAGGGAGGATTCATCTCCCGCGCAGTGCGTCATGAGCGAGAGACGAATCCCGTGAAGCTAATTGCGCAATGCGTAATGCGCAGGTAAACCAAAACGAAACAGGACCGCCGCGCTGCAGCACGGGGTTTGAACACATTTTCCACGTTTCGAGTACGCCCATTGAGAAATGACAATGAAATCGATGTCGATTTGGGCTGCGATCCATTTGCTTCTTTCCAATGTTTTGAACTTTACGCTCTAAACGCTATGCTCTGATTGATCCATTACTGTTCCGAATACTATAATTGCTACGTAAACGCTCCAGCTAACCCATCTCCCGAGTTAAGTTGGAGCGAAGCGGGAGCAAAAACGATGACATATTGATAATATAATCAAACTTGCTGGGAGCGTTCCAAAGCATCAATGGCGTTTTTCCTTCTGATTCCTGAGCACAATAGCTAAATAATTTAATATATGATAAATTAAATTAACAGATAAATATATATTTATTATTAATTTATATTTTGTTATTAATTTTCATTTTTAATTATATTTTATAGGAATCTGCATATATAAATGAAGGACTTTTCATGGATTGGCTAGAAAACCATTTTATTCCTAGAAAAAGTGCAGGATCCTGCTTACTGATTTTAGATGGTTATGGATCCCATGTAAACTCTCCCGACATGTTACAATGTCTATCGACAATGATGTTAATATTCTTTGCCTGCCCAGCCATACAACACACTATCTTCAACCACTTGACAGATCCTTTTTTAAATTAATCATTAAAAACGTTTTTCCGAGATGCATGTCGTGAATGGGGTAACGCGAATCCAACTAAAAAGTTCGGAAGAATTTATACTTTATTAGCAAAAGCTTGATCTCAAGCGGCTACTTCCCAGACGGGAATATCAAGATTTAGAGCGACAGCAATATATCCTTTTTGTCCATTGGCAATACCATAACATGCATATCTGGAAAGTGCAATAACTGAACATGAGGAATCCTCTTCTTCAGAAAGTGACTGTGATAAAAAGATATTATCTCCTGTAACAATAAACGATAAAGACAATTTAACGATCACTCAAATATGCATATTGAGTAATGAAAGTATGATGCAACCTGGGCCAAGTAATCTGTGCCAGCAATCTGAGTCTTCTTTAATAGAAACAAATATAAAAGTTTTTCACGACAAGTATTGAATAAAGTTTCTCCGATATCAAAGACAACCCATGTGCCCAGTTTAAGAAAACAGTCTGCTATGATTGTTACAACTTCTGAGATGATAAATTTAAAAAGAGAGAAACGAAGATCGAAGGAACGTACAGTAAATAAAATTGACTCAAACGAAAAAAGTGAGTATGAATACATTGAATGCTATGAATCCTATAATAATACATTATCTAAAGCAGATTGGATTAAATCTATTAAATGCAAAAAATGGTTGCACGAAACATGTACATTACATAATGAAATTTGCAATAAATGCAAAAGAGTAGAATTTAAAAAAGCAAAAGAAGACACAAGTAAAAAGAGAATAAAAGACACAGGTAAAGAGAGAACAAAAGAAGACTCACATAAAAAGAAAATTAAAATAAAAAAAGAATAAGTAAATTAAAAAGAAAAAAAAAGTTCAAGAAAAAGGTGAAAAAAGCAAAACTTGAAAAATAAAAGTAAAAAATTCAAAGATTGAAAATAAAATATACTCAAACAAATTTTTGTTAAAAGTTTAAATTACTTTATTTTAAATTCTAAATATTATATAATTCCTTTTTTACACAGTTATTTCCTAAAAAAGAAGATTTAAAAAGTTTTTATTAATTGTTACACGCAAATATAGGAAAGGTTATATTTATGATCAAATTCTTTTTAAATTTGTTTTAAAATACCTAAGATTATATATTATGTTAAAAGATATTCGATATTATAACTTCAGAAATAAAAAACAATCCTTTCTTGTAAGCAGCGAATTCGTATGATTCTAGAACACCCGGATTAATACTTCGATATTAATCAGCGTTCTTATTAATTTTTGTTTACAATAACAATTTTATTTTAAGTTATATTAGATACGCAAAGTATATATTTGTACTCAATAAGTCAGTATATGTTGAATAAATGCAAGTTACATTGTCTTTTTACATCTTATTTATAGATTATTTGCAGGGTTGGGTAGTGCCAAGTTAAAAAGCTAAAAGTTAAGTTAAAAAGTTGAAAAGTTAAATAATTTTAACTTAACTTAGTTACATTTTAGACTCTTAACTTTTTAACTTTATTTAGTTACATTTTATCGATAACTATTAACTTTTCATTTAAATTTTTTGAAATATTTGTGATTTCTGTATGGATCATATATCCTCTCGTGAGTGGCCGTATATCCCACCCCCATGGGATATACGGCAAAAATGCATGGGTTTAAAAAAATTTATTTTTTAATACGAAAACTGAATATTTCGGATTTCTAATTTTTTCTATCCGCAATCCGCTTGAATTAGTAATTATGGATGGTTATTTAATTACTGTATCTCACCCAATTTGCACAATAAAACAAGCGACCGGTTAAATCCAATTACGTATTAATAATTTACATTTGGTATCCCAATATTCAACACAATGAACGTGTAACAATAAGGATGAAATCACCAATGCAGAAAACGATTGCGGAATAGATAATGCGTCATAGAAGTACCCAATCAACGTTATTCTGCGTTATTCCGAGTAGCGCTAATTGGTTGTTTCAATGACGCATCTCTATATTCAGGTGCCTATTCATGCTAAACTCAACGCTCACATTCAGCGTCAAACTATAGGCACGGTCAATGCGATGTTACAAATCCTTTGAAGCGTTTTTTAATTGATCAGTTTGTAAAATTTTTTCTTCTAATTGGTCCATCTAACGCTTCAAAGCATTTGTAGCGAGACTTTGACCACAGCCTAGGTCACGTGATTAAAATTGACGCTTGATATTCGTTAGTTTCTATCACGTGACATGTTTTGACGCGCAGAAAATAAACCTCGAGCGTCGGCATGAAAAAGCACCTTTATTTATTTTAACGCCAAAAATAAGCGTCGAGCGCGTCAGCATGAAAAGGCACCTTTCCGCTACCCTTTTCCGCACTGTGTGATTTCACTCTAATTACATAAGTCGTTGCCTCCCAAACAAAAACTCTGGTGTGATATACAGAGTGTGTAACATTGCGGATCCACGGCAAGATAATTTCTAGATATAACTGAGACCACGACAGTACTGGTTATATCCGGGAATTACTCTGTTTTTATGAATCCGTAATGTTGTATTACTCTGTGTAGAGTAATACAACAGTACTCTCATAGTATTATAGTACAGTCAATTTAGATGAAAATTGAGCGGGATGTCGGAAAAATTATCATCAGGGTGAATTTTTGCACAGACCTTTATTTTTGCATAAGATTGAAGAAGAAAAAAGTATATCACTGTGTACAGTGGCCGCTAAGAATAATAATTAAACAAGGGGATTTAATAATAATTAAATAGGGTCCAAATTTCGGTTTTTTGCAAATATCTCGATAAATATCAATTTTACCAAGAAAATATAAGAAAGGAAAATTAAAGAGCGGAAAATTTTACATAGAAAAGGTTGTGTAAGTTTTTGTCGTACGGGCAATACTTTTCACGTAAGAAATTATGCAAAATGTGCTTTGCGCAGCGAAGTTGCGGAGCGCCCTGACAAGACGCCAAGCGAAATGGAGTTGCACGCGCGCACAAAAAATATCATAACTTTTGAACGAATTATCGTACAGAAGTCAGCCAAAACGCGTCGAAAAGCTGAAATCTTCAGCTTTTTAATAGAATTAGTTTCGTTATTCTACAACAATTTTTAACAATTCAACAATCGATTAAACAATATGTTATATACAATTTTTGACATTTTTCATAAAATCAACTATAAATCGGTATCGGCTTGTTTAAAAAAAAATCACCTCTAGGATATTACAGTATATACTTCATACTTTGATTCTACAAGAGAAAAACATTTTTTAAAATTTTCTTTAAAATCGAGCTATTGACATTTTCAGTAATAGCTGATTTTATGAAAATAAGTCAAAATTTGCATATAACATATTGTTTAATCCATTGTCGAATTGTTCAAAATTGTCGTACAATAACGAAACCAATTCCATTAAGAAGCTAAAGATTTCTTACTAGTAAAATATGATAATGCTCTCATATCTAATAGTATATTCTATCGCATACCTTTCCAGATAGCACAAAGAATTCTTTTCAAAAAAAGATTTCTTTTTGCATCTGAAAATAAATTCAGAATATCACTGAATTTTTTTTAATTCTCTGTGCTATCTGGGTTATCTAATAAAAAATGTCAAAAAATTATTAAACGCGTCGAAATACCACAAAACAGAACCCAATAGAACCAAAAAATGATTATAATATTACCCATCAGAAATATACGTGGATTTGACGTCGTAGTTCATGTTTACGTTTTATACACATAGAGGCGCTAGCTTTAACTCCGAGACGGAGCATAGAGTCTCCGTCTTCTACTCCAATTTACTCTCAAGTTTCTCAAGAGTTTTCTACAAGGGTTTTTACTAAGGGTTTTCTGATGTTACGTGCAACCAATACGTAAAATTTTACGAAGCAATCATGTCGTATCTAACAGGAGGTAGACTGAATGGGACTTATTCAGGAACAGACGAAGAACCGATTGTTTTGCCTGCTGGAAAAATGCGATGTCCCAAAGGTACTCTGACTTAACCTTTCATGGAGAGATCAAAACAAATTAATTACAAATTCGTTTTTACGATATATTTTTCCTTTTTTATTGTGCAGGCTATTGTATGAAACCAGTCGTTGGCCGGACCGATCGCCAAGTATAATTTATTAGAATACGGTGTTGTGAAAATGTATCCACTGTATGGTGGAACTTTGATAATACCACCTAATATTGCTAATGTTATATTTATCTCGAGGCCACAGTTGGAGCTTATGGATCTGATTGCGGAAAATGTTCACAGGTTGGTTTATAGCAATGTCTCTGAACAGAAAGGAACAAATTATATTAAATTCAAGAGAACTTTTTGCTGAGAGTAGGTATATATATGTAATTGCAAGTTTTTCTACAATTCTTCGTGTTATATTTTTACAGAGATAAAAATTTTAACGACATTGAGCCAGTTCTTAGTAAGAAAGCTAAAGTGATTTCATCTCAATATGACGAAAGACATGGAGATAAGAATGTGCAAGAAATTAAGCAGTTTGTTGCACGATTACCATATATGCTAGCAACAAAACAACTGGAAAAGGCTGGTTTATTAAAAGTAGCAGTTAGTACGACAAGATGCAATATTAAGGAAAGCATTAAGGCTCACTATCGAAGACGAGAGTGAAGTAACACCGAAAGATATTCCATGTACGCACCACTGAATGTGAGATTGACCGAGTAACTAGTACAACCAAATAATTAGCAAGGATTATACAACGTAATGGGATCATTGTGAGGTCCTACTGTAAGCAGCGTCCCATACAATGTACTTTCGTCAACGAGACGTAAGTCAAACCTAAATCTTGACTTATTCATACCTTATTTTTAATGTAATTTAGTCCTCAAAAAAAAAATTTATTTCAGGAAATTCTATTACTAGCGAAAATTCTGATTCTGAACCACCGAAATTAATTCTGGTCATTTTCAATGAAGGATGCACTTTCGCTGAAATATCTACTCTTCGGTTTCTATCGCGGAAGAGCGTAAATATCGTAATTTATATTAATAAGTATTTATTTGCACAAATAAATAAACGTATATATTATAGTAAACATAATATAATTTTTTTCAGTAAATGTCGAGTTTGTCGTGGGAACTACAACATTAATAAATGGCAACACGTTTCTTACTTCTTTGATGGAAGATTTAGAACGGACATGAGAAGAGGATTGCTTAAACTAGAGTATTGAAATAGAATAGTAAATATTTTTTATGTGATGAAGTAAACTAAATATCATATCCCAAGCAGAACATCAAGTCACTATGATATCAAAATGATCATTAAAAGTCATTTTTCACTTATTTCCGATTCATTTTAATGTAATTTTGACGTTATCATGACTTGTTGTTTTGCTTGGGATATTTCTTACCATTTTATTTTGTATTCATCAATTTTATACATATAATTTTTAAAAAAAGATCTTTTTTTTTTAAATCTTATATTTAGATGCTAATTGTATTTTGTACATACATATATGTACATGTATGTACATAAAAATAAACTGCTGCAGTACGTGAGAATGTAACAAGTACTTTTCTGTTTATAAAATCGTCGTGATACAATATACACTACCGTCAGAAAGTTTAAGACCAAGCATTTTAAAGATTTTATTTTGTTCTTTTTATTTAAAATATATGCAAGTTCAATTTTATTTTTCACAGCATTATAATATGTAGGTATAATCAAGTATCATTACGTAACTATTTAACGTATACTTGTTTTATAATTTTACTATAAATTATGTATTTTAAAATTATATCACGTTGGTTCTAAACTTTCTGCCGGTATGTATAATCCAAAGAGATGTAATGATGCTCCCCTCCCATCGTTCCCAGCTGAATTTAAATTATTATATTTATTACATTTCTATGTTCTTTTCGATAAGCCGTTATAATAATAGCCATTATATTAATAATAGTTAGTATAACAACTACAGAACTATTCTGCATTTTGCAACAGAGCTAGAATATTCGAAATTAATAAAATGTAATTTTCCCACAATGAGAATTGTTACTGTAATATTAATAAAACTGGTACGAATATCGATTCAATAAAATTAATTTAATTAGCTATTCGAGCCGCGCTGGATATTATTTGCGAACTTCTACAAAAATAATTTATCAATATAATGTCTACAAATAACTACAAATGTTTTAACCCTTGACGTTTAAACTTGTTTTACGTTTTTGGTAATTTTATTAAAATAAAATTACCAAAAAGTCAATAGTTCACGAGATATTTTCTATTTTATTTTAGCATATTTCGTATCAAAATACATATGCTAAAATATAGTATGACATAAGTCATCAACTATTGATTTTTTGATAATTTTACTTTGATATTTTCTCATGTACAAAATAACTAAAGGAATCATTAATTGAACATGTGTAAAAGAAGTCACATAAATATTAATTCATCACTTACCAACCCGATGCGCAACAGCGGAATTACACCTACAACGTCGCTATGATAATTCTGTAACAAAAAGAATATAAAATCCAAATTAAAACAGAACAAAAAAAATTAATCCTTATTTAAAAAAATTTTTACTAAACGCAAAGTTCCCTTAAATAATCATATAATAAACAAAAAAGAAACATATAATTTTTAAAATATATAATTTTTATGAGCATTAAATTTTTTAATTCATTATTCGGTTACATATTTATAAAAATAATTATACATTTTCTAAAAAGATCTTAAAAATACATACTTATAAAATTTCAAAATAATTCTAAAATAATTCTTTTTTCTAATTATTATTTTTAGATAATTGTAAAATAAAACGACTAAAGAATAAACAAAAAAAAATTTTTAAACAAATTTGATAAACAAATACGATATTTACCGCAAGGTTGCTCCGCCGATATCCGATGCCTCTCCCAGACCTCCTCCTCCTCTCAGAGTTGGGTCGACATCCTCTCGCACAGGACACTCGCGTAAAACACTCGCGAATAATACACTACATATTATAATCGCGCGCGGACTATAACTTGAGTCCGATAACTTGAACGGCACTCCCGGAGCAAACGCGCGACGCGACGAACCGGCTGCGGTTCGTTTCATTTTAAATCGGCGACGAGGGTACGTTAGCTTCTTCATTGGATTTTTACACAAAGAGAACGGTTTTATTCAATATCTAAAAATTTATCCAGATGTATCATTCAGATAGATCCGAAAATTTTTAGATACTTGAGAAAACCCGTTTTTTTCGTGTAAACGTCCTCTGAGTACTGAGCCCTCCTACCACGTCAAGGTCGTACCCGTGAGAGGGAAGATAGTCTGAAAAATGTAATATATATAGCTATTATCTATATCAGTATGCAATTACTATGCAATCGGTTAACGTTTAGAAACAAATATCAAACTCACGTCTGCAATTTGTTGCGACGTCATTGCGAAATAAATTCAGAGCAGATAAAAGGGTTGAATCTTTTATTTATAGATGATGTCTATAAGATATGATTAAAGTCAATGAAATGGGCTAGAGACTAATAAAAAAGAGAAATGTTTCTTTTATCACCGATAAATAGTTTCAAAGTTACGATTAGTTTTTTAACGGATCGTATAACGAAAGAAGGACAAAAACAAAAAATTAATTAAATTATTAAACTATATTTATTGTAAAAGTAGGAATTGCGTTATTTGCATGAGAATATTCATATTAAGGTTGTTTTTTTATGACTCGTGTGATACCGTTTGTACAGACAAGTAACCGGTGTCGCGTGTCGCTCTTCTACACATTTCTTTTTGAAACATAATAATCGCAAAAACTGCTAGATATAATACGATTACTAGTATTATGTGAATATTCATAAAATGTAGTATGATTAACTTCATAAAGTACATCTTTTCGTATTATATTTGGCATTCTTCGCGATTAGATTTCAATAAATAATGTGAAAGAGCCGCACGCGACGCGACTACCTGCTTGTAATTTTTTTATTACGGTTCATATAATTTATGCTGAAATTCATGTGTAAATGTAATTGAGTCGCGCAGGCGTATGGCATCAGCGGTTCCGAGAAACGCGAGATCACGCGGCTATTGTGTGATTCGCGTTTCACGGCTAATAGCGTTGCCATGGTAATAATTTGACACGAGTAACCAGTAACTGTATTCTGTGACTGTCTTACACGCCTCTCGACAACGGACAATTATCGGTGTCGTTGCGCAGATATTTTATATGGTGAAAAAGCTGCGCAACGACACCGACAACTGTCGATAGACGTGTAAAACAGTTACAGAATAGGAGCCCAGGGTACCTATTATGGAAATAATTGGAATGGATTCCGATCGGAATTATTTCGTTTTCTCCAGAAAACACAATAGAAATCTAGGGAATAATTGAATAATTCCGATCGGAATCAATTCAGAACATTTCCATAATAGGTGCCCAGTAATCTGTAATCATAACATTCGCCTATCTTGGCGGAAAGCGGCGGATGTACAATTTCATTGCAAGTTTTGTTGGAATCTCTCTTTCTATGTATACTTAAAAAATCACTGAAAATCTGCCATAGTAAATACTTATTAAGCATAATATGCTATACGCTTTTTGTAATAATACCATAGAAAAAAATGTAGTTTTCTCCGATTTTATAATAGATTTCGATGAGCCGCCTACGATAATTAATTGTACCTCGAGAGCACAATGCTATGTCAAATATCGTTGATACGGTTAACTACAAAGAGCTTTTTTGATAATTATGCGATAGTGAGCTTAGAATTTCTACTACCGTAAATACACTATTAACTATGGCAGATTTTCAGTGATTTCTTAAGTATACATACAAAGAGAGATTCCAACAAAACTTGCGAGTAACATGATGTTTCATTTTATCGTATTCCGATGAAATCATACCTTCCTAACAGGAAACGATAGAGAATGGTGGAGAATATTATTTCTTCCGGTTACTTTTTTCTTAAAATTTTTGCTTTCGATTTAGAGAAGCGATAGATTACGATTTAATTAGATTTTCCGTAGATTTCCATAGGTTTCATCGCTTTCTCTCTTTCGACATTTTTATTCATCGAAGTTTATTATGGTTTGTATTTGTCCTATTTTTGCAGTATTGTTATTACATACGTATGTAACGTAATCGCGAAAGTGCGTAGCGGCCATCGTGCGAGTCCTTCGGTGCGGTGCGGTGAGACGTGTGAAGACGTGTGAGTGGCAATGGCGACTGGCGAGCGCTGAGCAACGCCGCGCTTCCTCTCTTACCTCTCCTGCCGGCGCACCAACTGTTTGACAAACTGGGCCGGACTATACCTCGAGAGCGGTCGGAGCCGTTTCTATTCTTTCTATCGGCGCGCTCTCATTCATACAATTACATTATTACGGATATCGCTAAATGGTAAAAGATTTTTATGTTTATTTCGATCCCATCTACTTTAATCTGTGGAGAATTGGGAAAGTCTCGCTGGACACCCTGTATATAAAATTATGCATAATAATTATGTGTGAGCAATTTTTTTCACATTTTTCCAAACTTGTATTTTTCTAAAATAATCAATGCGAAAATTATCCCTTTAATTATTTTTTGTTTTCACATTAGTATTATTATTTCTATTACACTAAAAAGTAATTTTATAAAAGAAAGAAGGATGTATGAACATGTATGGACATATTTCACACATATATAATTATACATGTATGAATATTTATGCATGTATGTATGTTTATATATATTCATGCATGAAAAATTTTTTTACTGGGATATTACATGGGTTAAACAAGGACGAACAAAGTTGATTTTTCGTCTTTATCTAATCCACGTAATAATATGGCAAAGAACCACAAAAATGTAAACTTTACCTTAGTTTGGTACATGAAAAAGGCCGACCGGGATGTGTTCACTCTCAGGTTTCTCTCTGACAGTATTTCGTCGATTATTCATGTTTCCTTGTTACCAAAATATGATAATGTTCTCGTATCTGATAGTATATTCTAACGCATATCCTATTAATAAAAAAATAAAAGAATTATTTAACGCGTGGAAATACCACGGAATAAAACCCAATGGAACAAAAAAAGATTATGTTATCCATCAGAAATATTCACAGACTTGACTACATAGTTCATATCTACGTTTTATACACATAGAGGCGCTAGCTTTAACTCCGTCTCCTACTCCAGTTTACTCTCAAAGCTTTTCTGGTTTTATTGAAACTCCGTCGTCTGCAACTGTCAAAGTAATCTCGGATATGTTAAGTGCAGTCAATACGTAAAATTTTGCGAAGCAATCATGTCGTATCTGACAGGAGGTAGATTGAACGTCGGACTTATTCAGGAACAGGCGAGAAACCGATTGCTTTGTCTGTTGGAAAAATGTGATGGCCC